CGCATCACCTACCAGGACACAAACTACAGTCGGTCAATTTCAGCTGAAGAGCGCCTGTCCATCTGTCTCAGGTTAGTGAGCATTATTAAAGAAGGCTCGTTATTATTTTATCGGTGCTATAAAAAATTATTTCATTGCTGTGATAACAATATTTTAGTTAAAGTATAACATGCTCAAGGTATTTTAAAAAATTTGTAGCTCATATATATATATATATATAATATGTGTGTGTGCGTATCAGTGCGTATCAGCATTTTCTTAAAATTAATGAGTTATATATACTGTGTTTTTTTTTCTGTTTATTTAATTCAGGTTTCGTGCAACCAGTGACTCATACAGGTCAATTGCCAGCAGCTTCCAGGTGGGTATTTCCACTGTCTCCATCATTGTCTTAGATGTTGTTACAGCCATCTGGAACTGCCTTGTGGGAGAGTTTATGGCTGTGCCTGGAGAAGATGAGTGGAGGTCCATTGCTGAGGATTTTTGGAGGCGGTGGAACTTCCCTCTCTGCTGTGGTGCTCTGGATGGAAAACATGTGAAGCTAAAAGCACCCCCCAACTCAGGTTATCTCTTTTTTTAACTACAAGGGAGACTACTCATTGGTCCTTCTAGCCCTTGTTGATGCCCATTACAGGTTCCGGGTGATAGATGTTGGGGGTTATGGGAGAACAAGCGATGGTGGGATCTTGGCCATTCCACGTTTGGCCAGGCTCTGCGTAAGGGCACACTGAATTTTCCACCTGACCAGCACCTCCCCAGAGCTGACCACCGAGGACCCCAGCCCCATGTGATTGTGGCAGATGAGGTGTTCCCACTGCGGCGAAGTTAGATGCGGCCCTTTTCTGGACGCGGTGGCCTCACCAAAGAGCAGCGCATGTTCAATTATCGTCTGTCACGGGCTCGTCTGGTGGTGGAAGATGCGTTCGGGATTTGGTCTGGCCAGTGGAGGGTGTTTTGCCGTCAGCTGGAGATCTACCCAGAGGTTGTGGAGAAATGTGTGAAGGCCACTTGTGTTCTTTTCACAATTTCATTAGGGCAAATGGCAGGTACCTGCACTGAGTGGAGCCGGAACAACGGAAGATCCTCTTCCAGATGTGGGGCGCATGGGAGCAAACTATGCAGCAAGAGAGGCCATTCATGGCCTACTTCTGTGAGGAGGGAGCAGTTCCATGGCAGCCGACTGAGTAGTCATGTCCTCCACAGGAGTGACGTACAACGGATCTTTTAAGAGCCACCCACAAAACTTCAAGAGGCTAGTTTCTATATAACTTAATAATTTTCCTTGCTTGTTAACATGATTGTGTTTAAAACATTTATATGTTATGATGTTTATCTCCCTCCTGTTTGCAGAAAGTAGCTGCCTGGAATCTTTTTCTGACTCCTGCTCCTGGTTAATCACAGCATAACCACAAGCACAACCAAGACCGTTGTTACAGTTCACTTAAACATTTTTGGGATAATTAATTAAAGACAATGTTAGTGATTTGTGGCTCCTGAATCTATCATTCTATCAAAATGTTTCATCTTTACATGAATAAATGATAATACTGTAAAAATATAAATATTTTCATTCACTTCCACTATTTAAAAGAACTGACATATGAAAGATAAAAGTGATAGTTTAAACAATCAAACCAAATGTAAATTCATAAAATATTTATTAGAACAGATTTTAGAATATCAAATCAACACATACATACAACATGTAAAAAAAGGGAAAAAAACAAACATGAGAATGTTTGTTTCCTCTCCTGCAAAAAGTGCCACCTATTTTATTTTAAAAATATCTACTCTGTGGGCTCTGATGGTTCCAGATTAAGTGTTTTAGGAAGGCAGTTTCCAATTAAACTGGCCTTTACCCTGCCCAACCCATAAGGTCCAAGGCACGATGATGCAGTCAGCTGTGGTTAGTTCAGAGCACATTTTTGAACCGGGCATGGCCTATGTCCCGCTCACGTATATCATGCAGAGGAAATAATTGAGAGCTGTTCTACATTAACCGCTACTCCTCCGCACATCTCATACCACGTAAGTCTTCTTCGTTCTTCACTGTCAGAATACGGAGCCAAGCTATTTTTAGCTCTGCTCCGGTCCGGCCAGGTCAAGATCCGTAACTCCAATCACACCACAGAGGAAAAAGAATGTCGAAAAGATCCGGTTTGTCAAATTAAAACAGACATCCCAAGTCTCCCTGAAGTCTCCTTGATATAAGTAGTTGTTCACGGATGCCTGTGAGTCGGATAAATTATCCTGGATTTTACACTCTGCAAGGTGATGGTTTTTAATGCGAGTGAGAGCAGACAGGCAATAATTTGTGCATCATGTGCGGATAAGAACTACTTCAATTGCGCAGACAAAAGAGAGCGCGGGGTGTGGGGAGGAGGTTACATGTAAAAACTGTGCAGTCTGTCTGTCCAAAGCAATGCTCTGTTCAAAAGGTCAAACACTACAGACACCCTATATCTCTCTATATCCATATTTACATCTATCCATACCTATGTATCCATCTCTATATCTATCCATACATATCTATATATCCATACATCAATATCCATCATATCTATCTATATATATTTACATAACACTTTTTTTCCATTGTGTGTGATACATGTACACTTGCACCTTAATTCTTATTCTTATCTTGATATACTGTATATACAGTGCTTGATTGTGTATTCTTAATGCACCTTTTCCTCCTTGTTTGCACCTTCTTTAATTACTATGCCAATATGTGACCAGTGAATTTCTCCGCTGTGAGATCAATAAAGCTAATCTAATCTAATGACTACTGTTTCTAAATCATATTTACCACCCAGCTTATGTCAGAACAGAAAACACAGCAGGTTAATGAGATCGGCGCATGTCACTACCTGATCTGTCCCAGAAGCACGATCCGTTCTGCACATCCGCAAATATATGCATCTGGGTGTTCCTAAATAATGTAATTATGGTACTAAAACTACCCATTTCTATCCTTAACTCACGCAGTGGTCTCCAACCCTGGTCCTCAAGATCTACTGTCCTACAGATTTTAGATGCATCCCTGCTTCAACACAGCTGAATCAAATGATTGGTTTGCTTTTGTAGTCATTCATTTGATTCAGCTGTGTTGAAGCAGGGATCCATCTAAAATCAGTAGGACAGTAGATCTTGAGGACCAGGGTTGGAGACCACTGCACTAAAGAATACTAATGCACATCTGTAAAAAATGTTTTGACTTTGTTTATGCTTCTTACATTTTCTTCCCTGACAGACATGCTCAGAACAGTCCAGCAAAATATGATTTAACAATGTTTATCTGCATTTTCGTGTTTTCTTTCTTCACCCCGAAATCCCACATACTCCGTCGGCGCTCAGCTCCGCTGCACTCCAGACTGCCTGCAGAAAGCAAAGCCTACAGCCTCCGCTGCTGCCCCCATCCACTACGAGTTCCTTGGAGATCGTAGAGGGCATGCACGAGATGATTAAATTCAAAGCAGCAAACCATGCAGAATTGAACCACGGATCATTAAAAATCACAATTCTTTTTTTTTTTTTATTAAGGCCTTAAGTGGCACTAAAATTAATTAAATATGTTTATCTTGGCATTTGTAATTCTTTAATAAAAAATGTTTATAAAAACAATTTCGTCAGATATATTGCGATTAATTTGCGTGGAACTGATCATAAAGCCGTGTGTTCGGAAAGGAAGCTCGAGGCGGAGAAAAAGCTAAATATATATATATTTGTGTGTGTGTTTACATTCATACAAGAGTCATGAAACTGTGCTTACAGCTCCTTCAATGTTCATGTACACTAATAACTTGTGTACATGGAACTTGTTGATGGCATTTAATATGTAATATTAAAAAAAGTCCCACCATCATCCAGCAGATGTTCAGTTTCTGCCCAAATATTTTTTTTGTTTTTTGTAACGGGGATAACTAGGATCATTCAATACTGCTTTTTTTTAATGAACTATGTTTCTCTCTACTGCCAAACTCAGCATCTCTTACCCATTCCTGCAATTAAAGGTTTCTTTTGAATGGATTTGATTAAACTTTAAGTCCCTTCGTATAAAAGAAATATTTTGATGGAGATGAGAAATCTGCTTCCTGGTCGGTGAATAATCAATAATTTGCATCCAATCATTTAAATAAACAGCGTTAGTTTTTTTGGATTTATTCTATAATTTCTAGTTACCGATCTACTACTACTATATTTTTATTTGACAAACCGTTTGGTGTGATTGTAATTGCTGATCTTGACCTGGCCGGACCGGAGCAAAATATAGCTCGGCTCCGTATTTTGTCGGTGAAGGACGGAGAAGACGTACCTTGGACAGAGACGTGCGGAGGAGTAGCGATGAATGTGGAACAGCTCTCATTGATTTACATGAAAGACAAGCGCTCCGCACGACGTGCGGAATGGAGCGGAGCGCTGACGGAGTATGTGGAATCTGGGGGTTAGACTACGCACTATATAGCATAAGGTTAAAACAAAAACATAAACTAAAAAATACTAGATTTATGTTTAAATCCAAAGCCAAAAAAAGTTGGCAACTGAAAGTAGAGTACAATCCTGTTTCCAGTTCAGATCGGAAGAGAAGAGGGATAAAACAAAGGATTTTAGGGCATATTTTTTTTGTCAGGAAATACATCAACGTTAAACACTTTATATTTTTGTATGTTTACTATTTTTGGGGAGGGAAAACATCATTTAGGTATTTTTAAACAAGATAAAAATCAAGGATGACCCGGATTTATATATGGATGCGCACGCGTAAATGAGCTGACGGCTCATGCGCAGAACGGATCATGCTTCTGGGACGGATCGGGTAGTGACAGTGCATCCTCTCTGCTTCATCTAGCCCTGACCAATTTCTTCTGCTGGCAAGAGTGTCAGCAACTTGTACAAGCAGCACCAAGCACCCTCTGCTGGCAGACCTCAAACTAATAACTAATGCAACACAAGGTAACTAGTAAGTAGCAGTGACCAGCTCGCTCTTTTTTTTTTGTCCTTCAGGAGCCCTCAAAGGCATAAACAATCAGTCTGGGGAACTCAAAGTCACTTCCCAGCCATTGGGAGGGTTCTCCAAACGAGCAGAAGGTCTGGTAAGCCTGGCACCACAAACACAGACA